ATTCTTATTCAAGTATCCTTTTATGCTATCCAAAAATTCAGTATCATTTCTGATCAACAATATGTCATCCACATATAATATCAGAAATGCTTCAGAGCTCCCACTCACTTTCTTGTAAATACCGGCTTCTCCAAAATTCTGTATAAAATATATGCTTTGATCAACTCATCAAAGCGTATATTCTAACTTCGAGATGCTTGCACCAATCCATAGATGGATCGCTGGAGCTTGCACACTTTGTTAGCACCTTTAGGATTGGCAAATCCTTCTGGTTGCATCATATACAACTCTTCTTTAATAAATCCATTAAAGAATGTAGTTTTGATATCCATTTGCCAGATTTCATAAAATGCGGCAACTGCTAACATGATTTGGACAGACTTTTAAGCATTGATACGAGTGAGAAAATCTCATCGTAGTCAACACCTTGAACTTGTCGAAAACCTTTTTGCGACAATTCGAGCTTTGTAGATAGTAACACTACTATCAGCGTCTGTCTTCCTCTTGAAGATCCATTTACTCTGAATGGCTCACCGATCATCGGGTAAGTCAATCAAAGTCCATACTTTGTTCTTATACATAGATCTCACCTCAGATTTCATGGTCTTAAGCCATTTTGCGGAATCTGGGCTCATCATCGCTTCCTCATAGTTCATAGGTTCGTCATGGTCTAATAACATGACTTCCAGAATAGGATTACCGTACCACTCTGGTGCGGAACGTACTCTGGTTGACCTACGAGGTTCGGTAGTAACTTGATTTGAAGTTTCATGATCATCATCATTAACTTCCTCACTAATTGGTGTAGTCATCACTGGAACTGATTTCTGTGATGAGCTACTTTCCAATTTGGGAGAAGGTACAATTACCTCGTCAAGTTCTACTTTCCTCCCACTCACTTCTTTCGAGGGAAACTCCTTCTCTAGAAAGGATCCACTCTTAGCAACAAAGATCTTGCCCTCGGATCTGTGATAGAAGGTGTACCCAACAGTTTCTTTTGGGTATCCTATGAAGACACGTATTGTATTGGGAGAAGTGCTTAGCTTTGGGTTCAATCTTGCAGTGTCCTTTCCAAGTGATAGTAGGTGCAGCAAGGCACGTATTGTATTGTTGCCATCAAGGGTAAAAAGATGGGGTTTATATCATATTGCTTGAGTTTATCCCTCTACATCATGCCATCTTGCTTAAAGCGTTACTCTGTTCTTATGAACTTAATACTCTAGATGCATGCTGGATAGCGGTCGATGTGTGGAGTAATAGTAATAGATGCAGAATCGTTTCGGTCTACTTGACACGGACGTGATGCATATATTCATGATCATTGCCTTAGATATCTTCATAACTATGCGCTTTTCTATCAATTGCTCGGCAGTAATTTGTTCACCCACCGTAATACATGCTATCTTGAGAGAAGCCACTAGTGAAACCTATGGCCCTCGGGTCTCTTTCTTATTATATTGCATCTCTTTTATTTACATCGCATCTCGTTTACTATTTTGCAATCTTTACTTTCCAATCTATACAACAAAAATACCAAAAATATTTACTTTACTATCTTTATTTGATCTCACTTTTGCGAGTGACCGTGAAGGGATTGACAACCACTTTATCGCGTTGGTTGCAAGGTTTTCTTGATTGTTTGTGCAGGTACTAGATGACTTATGTGTTGTCTCTTACTGGATTGATACCTTGGTTCTCAAAAACTGAGGAAAATACTTACGCTACTTTGCTGCATCACCCTTTCCTCTTCAAGGGAAAACCAACGCATGCTCAAGAGGTAGCACACAGCTGTCCGAACGCCCGTAAGCCGCCCCCACCTACTTTGTCTCGGGTTTGGGGTAAAAACACGTCCGAGCCACCAAGCGGATCGATACATGACCGCGTTGAATGTCAAAACAGGTCTAGACCGCGTGGTGCAAACGTTACGCCAACTCTCTCCTCTCTGGTTCTCTCACATCCATTTAGATTACTAAATAAGACAAATTATCAATGAAAGAGCTTGTCGGTATACCCAGATGATTATCTACACATGGACTGGGTGATGTTTAATGATGCAACATCTATACATTAAGCATATCCTTTCTTTAAGCACCGATTTTCTTTTCCATGTAGTGGCCCACAAGAAGTACATATTAGTATTTTATAACGGTAATGATAACTGACGAACGTTCACTCTAAAGGAGGAGATAACGAACGCCTATATAGCCGCTTGATCGTGATCGAACGATGGCAAATTTTTTGCAAGAAAATGTCTTCAAAAGGGAAACCTAACAACCCCTATAACTAAAGTTGCCACCCTTCGACAAGTGAAACTGTCACCGAAATTGTTTGCAAATGCCATACCCCGGCGAAGGTTCGCTGGCTGTTGAGGTCCTTTAAGAATCATCGCAATTTTTCATTGTTATGTGTTAAAAGAAAAAAAACCTTAGAGCCGCCCCGACATCTCTCCCCTGAGGCGGCGGCGCCGCGCCGCCCCCAGAGAGTCCCCGTCCACACCGCCCTCGGCCCTCCCCCTCCATAGCCTCCCTCTACCGCCGATGTCTCTGATGACGCCATGGGGCGAAGCCCTGTGGTGAGGCGACGGCGGCGCAGTCCTCGGCCGATGGTAACGCGTCGGGGTAGCGGCGTCCATCTCCCTCCTCCTCCAACGGCAGTGCGCAATGGGTTGGCGGTGGCCTGGAGATCTCCTGCGATCGTTTGACGGATTGCGATGAGATCTGATCTGAGCTCGAGGGGTTTAGATCGAGATCCACTGTGGCTGCGCCTTGTCTCGACAACGTCAAGAGAAGATCCCCCTGGGTAATCTTCGTGGCACGAGGACGTCCGGGTCTCTTGGCCCGGGCATGGTGGTGGTGGCTGCCTTCTCCACCGAAGGCGGTTGGCCAGGCTGGTAGTGACGGATCTTGGACCCCACTATTAGCACTGGCGGCAAGTTGGGGAGACATAGTCGCCGGTGAAAACCGAGCCGACTCCGGTCATGGCGGGCGATGGCGGCGTCTACATCGTTACCGTGATGAAGGCATCATCAAGCAACTATCATCAACCTGCTCGTGCCGCTCGGGGAGAAATCCTTAGATCTCCGGATCGTATGATGGCGGCGTTGCGGTGTCGTGTTCCCTATTGGGGGCATCGTTTGTGGAGCGGCGCCGGATGGAAGAGGCGTGAGGTGGTGTGACGTGCCTTCTCTTGCGTCACGACGGCGGGTCTCGGCGGCATGGAGCAGCGGGGTCTCGCCGGTAGGCGTGTGATGATGGACGAGCGCAGGATGATGACGTTGTCTGGCGTCGTGGTGGCGTCGACGACAGCTAGACCGAGCAAGGTAGATGCAGCAGTACATCACTGAAGATGGATTGATGGCAGGTGGCTGCGGTGGCCTCATACCCGGCAAACGTCCTGGTTGAGAAGTGTGCCGGACTAGTGGGTGCCCCATACCTGGCAGGCGTCCTGGTTGGGACCTTAGGTCTTAGATGTTAGGTTTCGCTGCGAGGTCTGTTTGGTATTAGGCCCAGACTATCAGCATCCCTACATCAACTGAATAGAAGTAGCGACAGATGTTGCCTAGATGGTAGCTTTAGTCTTACTGTTGTACGACTTTGTAAGGTCTTATATGATTAATTAATAAAGTGGCTGCATGCATCATCCAGATACAGAGACCGGGGGTCCTCCTCCATTTCTGGAAAAAAAACCTCACCTGAAACACAAACATAGCTCCGTTGATATACCCAATACTAAATGTGCAAAAGACAATGGGAAATTAAGCAAAAACTTGGCCACAACTTCGAACCCCGGGGCTTCAAGGGGCATCATTGCTGTGCAGGGAAATAAAAATCAGCCATGTCTCTATCACGATGTGGAAGAAACAAGGCCACAACAGGAGCGCGTCACCATTTCGCCTTCCTTTTAAAGCGGGAGATGTATACCGCTTAATGAGTGAAAGGTTGAAAACTTTGGGAGCGCTCCCCGATGATGGCACCGCGCGTGTCCTGTCCACTTGGGAAAGGGAAACCCCTGCTCGGCGAGTCGGATGCTCATCGCTTTTGGTTCGGCCGCGAGGCAAAGCGCGCGCGTATCTTTGCAGAAAATTGTCGTGGTCGCGGGCTCTCTCGATGGCACGTCGCTCCTGTAAACAAACGACCCAAGAAAGTCTCGAACTAAAAAGATGCGGAGGAGAAAGCAGAAGGGAACGGGACAACCACGGATCAATATCTGACGTGAACTGGATGTGTGGATTCCGCGAGAGTTACAAATATAGCTGCCATATCAACCTCTAATCATCCCTTGATTTGATTAAAAAAAAACTGGATGTGGTTAGTGTTACTACTCTATGGTTCTTGCGTTGTGGCCCAGCGCGGATGGGTTGAATTCTTCTGGCTGCATGTGGCTGCCGGAGTATGAACAAAGTCAGAGTAATCAAACCAACATTAAAACAAATGTGTATATGTATGAACTACCAGTACTGGTGTGGGTTTATTTAAGGGAGATTTTTTTTGTTATAAATAATAAGAAGTCAGGTTCTGTCCAACGCATGATTGCCGCGTTAGCCGTGATCGGACGTGAATATTCATTCCAGAGGACAGGACACCGGCCGGTGGTGGAGGAGAAGATACTCTGAATGTGAGAGCGTTTTTTTTTTCTGAATGTGAGAGAGTTGGGGCCTAAGAGGATGAATGAGGAGCCATTAAGATTAGGACAAGTAATTAGAGTTGCTTACGGGCCACAACTGCGCGCGGTAAGAAGTGAAAGATGGGAGGGGTCTTGGCCCGCAAGCCGCCTCCGCACGCGGCACGCCTCTCTCTCTCTCTCTCTCTCTCTGCGCGAGTGACCGCGTGGAGCCTTATATAAGCCGGCCCTCGGTTCCTCCCCCCGGCCCAGTCTCTCCCCCTTCCCTTGTTCCTAAACCCGCCTCTCTCTCCCTCTTTCACACACGCCTCTCTCTCCTCTCTCTCGGCGTCCATTTCCTCTTCTTCTAGCTAGCTTGCTTCGGTGCCCGGCTTGCGGAGATGTCTGAGGCGTCGGTGATAAACCAGGCGGAGGTGGAGGACGCGGCGGCGGCGGCCGGTCTGGACCTGCCGCCGGGCTTCCGGTTTCACCCCACGGACGAGGAGATCATCTCGCACTACCTCACCCCCAAGGCGCTCGACCACCGCTTCTGCTCCGGCGTCATCGGCGAGGTCGACCTCAACAAGTGCGAGCCATGGCATCTCCCAGGTACACAACACACCCAAATTAAGCTGCTCCTTTGCGCGCACTTTCTCTCATCTTGCTTGATCCGAGCCCGACCGGCCGCGGGAATCTTGCCTTACTTACTCCCGTGTTTCTACCGGACAGGCAAGGCCAAGATGGGCGAGAAGGAGTGGTACTTCTTTTGCCACAAGGACCGCAAGTACCCGACGGGGACGAGGACGAACCGCGCCACCGAGAGCGGCTACTGGAAGGCCACCGGCAAGGACAAGGAGATCTTCCGCGGGAGGGGCCTCCTCGTCGGAATGAAGAAGACGCTCGTCTTCTACCTAGGCCGCGCCCCCCGCGGCGAGAAGACCGGCTGGGTCATGCACGAGTTCCGCCTCGAGGGCAAGCTCCCCCACCCGCTCCCGCGCTCCGCCAAGGTTTGCTTTCGCTCCTTCCTGATTCATTATCAAGTATTTTTCTCCTTAATTTCTTTCTGGCTTCATTCATGATTTGCTGCTAAATATGATATATGATTCGCGTGCAGGACGAGTGGGCCGTGTCCAAGGTGTTCAACAAAGAGCTCACGGCCACCAACGGGGCAATGGCAGCGGCGGACGCCGGGATCGAGCGGGTCAGCTCCTTCGGCTTCATCACTGACTTCCTTGACTCTGGGGAGCTGCCGCCCCTCATGGACCCTCCCTTGGGCGGCGACGTCGACCAAGTCACCGATTTCAAGTCCACCTCTGCCTACGCCACCGGTGCCCATTCCGGACACCAGGTTAAGATGGAACAGCACATGCCGCAGCAGCCGCCGCACATGATGTACTCGAGCCCCTACTTCTCCCTGCCGGCCGCTAACTCCGGCGACATGTCGCCGGCGATCCGGAGGTACTGCAAGGCAGAGCAGGTCTCGGGGCAGACGTCTGCGCTCAGCCCGTCCCGCGAGACCGGGCTGAGCACCGACCCCAACGCCGCCGGTTGCGCGGAGATCTCGTCGGCGGCGACACCGTCGTCTCAGAATCAAGAGTTCCTTGACGAATTCGACGAGTACCCCGCCCTGAACCTCGCCGACATTTGGAAGTACTGAAGCCAGCCGGAGCTGCACCTACCGCATGATTCGCTCGTCGATTGGTTCTGGCTCGTTGATTAATTACTGAATTGGATTACTTAACTTGGTATGTGATGCTGGTGTTAGTGGTTTGCTGATGCAGCATCATCTTCTTTCCGGAGGATTCTCGGGTCGGATCGGATCAGGTTACTATCCATCCATCCAGACAGACCTCCAGGGATTAGCTAGGCCTCCTTATGTTAATTAATTAAATTAGTCCTCGGTTCATATCTTGATCTGTGTGTACATACCACTACCACAACAGCTATTCTGATTGTGATTAGCAGTAGCAGCATGATGGTCATACAATTAATGTGTGTAGATTAGGGGGGACGACTTGAGATCCATTTGTGAATCGATTAATTTGGGCGCTGTTGATGAGCCAGGCAGCTAGCGCTACTACTAGCTTTGTATGGAATCCGCTTTGTATGTACATGTACCACCATTGATCATTAATTGCTTGAGTTTGACATGTCACTATGTGAATCGATGCTTGTGTTCTCTCTGTGCCGCTTTACACTTGGTAATCAATCAAGACGAGACTCGACGAGACGAGAGGCACTGGTACCAGTTGTGGTGCTGCTCATGGGGACCTTCCGAAATCTTTTTTTTTTTTGAGACAACCTTCCGAAATCTAGCAAGGGGAGATATGACATGGATGGATGGATGGATCATGGTTTTGGGCCGACGGATGGGGCCTCCGCGGGCTTGTTTGGATCGCCCAATTATTCCCGGAGCACGTCGTGGGCATGGCGTCCAGTTGGCGAACTCCTCTAGTTTTTTCCCTCCTGTTAGGGTTTTGCTCCTCCCGGAGGTGCTCTGTCGCCGCCGTTGAGATATTATCTTCCCTCCTCCGATCTACCCTCGTCTGATGATTCGGGCTGACTAAGGGGTGATCCTTGCATCACTTCCCGGCCTTGATCGTCGACTTGGATTCGAGAAGAGAGCTAGGGTTCGCTTCACCGCCCGATCTATTCCGTTCGGGCTAGGGTTCAAGGTTTCGTCTGCGGCGATGGGAGCGAATGCCCATGAGGCGTCGGGCTCAGGATCCGCGACAGAGATAGACAGGATGATGGCTGAGTTGGGTCTCAGAGAGGAGGATCTCGACGATGTTGTTTTTGATGATAAAGCGGCGCCGCCAGAGTCTACCAGGTGGAGGGCTGTTGCTAGGGTTCATATAGATAAACCATACAGTCAATACTGGTTCTTCAAGAACATGAGGTCAGCCTGGGACCTTGCGCATGATGTTAAGTTCCGCCCCCTCGAAGATAATCTCTACACGATGCAATTTTTCTGCTTGGGAGATTGGGAAGGTGTCATGCAGGAGGGGCCGTGAAATTTCAGAGGAAACGCTGTGGTCATAGAGCCTTATGATGGAATTACTACGCCAACAGAGGTGAATCTAGATCATCTCAATATATGGATTCAGATTCACGATGTCCCAGATTTGTATGCTCATCTAGTTGGGCCTCTTGCTGCCAAGGTGGGAGAGGTTTTGTTTACTGAAACAATGACCCAGGACTTTGCGGGAAACTTCTACCGCGTCTGGGTTAAGATCAATGTTCACAAGCCTCTCAAGAATGCGGTTTCCATGATCCGCAACGGCAAGCGACAGATCTATCGTGTGAAGTATGAGCGCCTCCCAGACTGGTGTGTTGTTTGTGGCCACTTAGGGCATGTCTTCAAGGAGCATGGAGATGGTATTCATCCTCCATCAGCCCTATACTTCAAGGACCTGAGGGCCACATGGAATATGCGAGTCGGTGCTGGCCCTGGAGCTGGCCGTGGTAAGGGGCGACGAGGAGGTCGCCGCGGTGGCCGAGGAGGACGCAATATGGAACCGATGAACTCGGGACAGCAATACTCAGAGCAAGAAACAGGTGAGGTGGATGCGGTGATGAAGGAGCCAGATGGCAACATGAAGATGGTGGAGGTTGAAGATAACAGGAAGCGTTCGGCGGAGTTGAATGGAGGACCCAAGCCGGCGCCCC